CAGTTTGTTAGCTTCCTGGGAAAATTTTACTGGTTGTAACTCATTTATTCCTGTTATGTTAACCTTATACTTTGAAGTATAAGTAATTTGATTAATGTCGAGGTAGCTGTTTAGAGGTATAAATATTAAGTAACTATATTAATATTAATTTGAATTATAAAGGAATCATTTGTTGGGAAAGCTTGGGTTGTTTTCTGCCAACATAAATTTGTCCTCTCTGTCTTGCTTACTAGAAGGCTTAAGAAAAATTCATTTTGATTGTCGATTGTTTATTACATTTTAAGCTAATAAGCTTACAAAAGGTATAAACACAAACTTTTCTTTTGTTGTCTTTATGTAATTTTTTCAATGTGATATTTTTTTTCTTTTTAGGATGTAGTTAGAATGATCATATTCAAGTCTCTTTCATTTTCATTTAATTTTATGTGTAAGCATTAATACCAGAAAATCGTCTATAAACTACATCCGCATCCAGGGTAAGATGATAAACTACATCCAACAGCAAGGCCTCTGATCAGGAGGCTTTGAGGAGTGTGGAACCACCTCTTAATTGCTGGTGTTCCCAAGTTCACTCTGACCCAGGGTGGTAGCACCTGTTAGGGTCCCAGCTGTGGGCAAATAGTTAACTCCGAAACTAAGGTAAAAAGCGTTATAAAAGTGTAAAAATAGCTTTTAATACCAGAAATACTTTGTAAAAGAAATTATTACCAGAAATATATTTTTGAAGAAAAAAAAAAAACTATTGCCAGAAATACGTTTTTGAAAAAAAATATTACCAGCAATACATGTTTTAAAATAATATTGCCAGCTATACAATTTGGAGGAAAAAAAATATTACCAGAAATAGATTTTTGACAAAACAACAATATTATCATGAAAAAAAAAAAAGTTGTTGGCATTAAATGACCCATTGAGTTTGATATGCCATAAAACCAAAACAAACCTAATACCAGAAAAAAATAAGATTAAGATTGCATTTTCAAACAATTTACTATTGTATTGATTTCGTGAAAACCTTGAAGAATTATGCAATTTTATTATTATTTCTATGAATAACTATTAAGTGTATGAGAAGGACAAAGGAAAGACATTCTAAGGAACAAAAAAGAACTTTTGAACAAAATTTTCAGTATGTATGAAAAAGGTGGTGTGTACTTAAAATGTCATGTTTAGTACTGCAGATGTGTATTGTACAGTTTCAGGCTTCAATGGTTGGAGAAACGCAAATACCATGATCAATGACAAATCAATGGCTTTTATGTCTGCTCTGAAGGATTCTTTATTAAAGTGACATTCTCTTCTCAATGATTAATAAACAACTGCCATAGGCATTTTAATCTTTGCATTTCATAGGACAGTAAATGTCAGATTTTATTATGCAAGTCAATGTATTCTCAGTAAATTTGGTATTAACCAACTGATACTGGCGAAAATTTCAGGAGATACTTATATTTGTGCGATAAATATACCAAGTGAATTTCATGAATTTACTAATAACCAATTTTATGGTGTGAGACTTTATGCAACTTGATGGTTCTCCATAAGACTGTAAATAAATATTTTGATAAAATTGTACTATGTCTTCTTTTTTATGTGTCGTAGGACGTAGACAGATATTGAAGGATTGGTACAGACCTAATATACCTAAAATATGGAGACAATTAGAAAAGTCCCACCAGAAGCTGGCATGAATACTGAACCATCTAACATTCTCCTGATGCAGGGAATTATCCTTTCAGGCTTGGCACCAAGACTTCCCATCAATTCAAGGAGAGCTCAGCTGCTTGCAGAAAAAATGGGATATGACCTTGTTTGAGAAAGAAGCCAGAACAACTGTTGGATAAAGCAAAAACTGCAGTCTGATATCTCTCAAAAGCTCGAGGCCCTCTTCAACAGAATTACCAATGAAGAAGACTGAAAGAGGATCCAGCATAAACTGGATGACACCTTCAGATATGAATTAGATGCAGTCAAGGCCCACCAGTAATTGATATTAGTCAATACTTGATCACCTCTTTGGAGTCAGTACTGTACAAGGGTCTCAACTTCACAATAACCATCAGGTGGGTACCATACTTGGACATCATTGCCTGAATCGAGGAAATAGCTTTGAACATTCCTCAGACATGAGTGGATGAGCTAAGATGGAAAGTGAGACAGATACTAGAGAAAGCCAAGCCGCCCAAATCAAACATTGTGAAACAGGGGGGGGACTGTCAATCAGAACCCTATAGGAATGAAAATATCATCATACGACCAGCTGACAAACAATTTGACTGTAGTGATGGACAAAACAGCATATACAGAGAAACTGGATGACCTCATTAGAAATGGTAGCTACAGTAAAGAAACATCCAACAATGAAAACAGAACAAAATTGTCACAGATCCTAATCAAGAACAAGGATCACTTCCCACCTAAGACATACAGGCAGTTATTGCAGTGTTACACCAATTGCATCACATATATGGCTTCCTCAAAATTTACGAAGATGATATTCCACTCAGGCCAATTGTTAGCTGCCAAGGCTCTGTGTGCACATCCTTGTAGATATAATTGACCCTCTAATAGGAAATTAACCTACCTTCATATGTCCAAAACTCTGCCCACTTTGTGGAAATAATCAAAGATGCTCTCATCCAAGCCAACCAGATGGTGATTCTGGATGTGTTGAGTTTGTTCACCAAGGTAGTCATGGATGAGGCACTTTTGGTAGTCAAGACAAACTGGCCTCAGACCTCCACTTAGGAGAATAGTCCAGTATACCAATAGAAAACCTGATGTAGATACTGATTTCTGTACACAAACAGCGCACTTTGGAATGAGATCAGACATATATTGACAATATGAAAGCTTGGTGATGGGGCTTGCCATTATTACCAGCAATGGCAACCATATACATGGAATACTTTGAAGAAATGTCATTAGAATCAACATCACTAAAGTTGACTCTATGGCTGAGATACGTAGATGACACCTTCATACTCTGGCCACACCAGGAAGAGGTCCAGCTACTACTGGACCATGTGAATCTGATACAGATTATGATGGAGAGAGAAAAAGAACAACAAACTCGTCTTCCTGGATGTACTAATATCTTGAACACAGCATGGGTCCAAGATATCCATATACTGCAAACTAACATTCACCAGCTAATACCCCAACTTCAATTCCCACTATCCATACAGTGTAAACAAAGGGATTGTCTGCTGCTTAGAGCATCAAGCAAAAGTCATAAGTGGTGACACAGGGGCATATGAACAGGAAATGGTCAGTATAAGCAGTACCCTACACTGTAACAGCTACCTGATATACATGGCAGCAGCTCTGACAAACTGGGATAGAAGGGTACAAGAAGATAACTACACTCAGAAAACAGCTTCGTTTGGACAACCCTAACTCGTTCAACTCTTTGTTGATACCTCTTCTGAGTAATACCCCCCCATAGAGGAGAACATGACAAAGGACTATGTGTACACCATCCTGTGCAGCTGTGGTAAGAAGTATAAAGGTGAAATAGGCAACTCCTTTAAGATAAGGCTGCAAGAACATCGTAAAGCTGTAACACAAGAGGAAATTAGCTGACCAAATATGGAGAGAAAAGGGTATGGTATGAGGTTGAAATAATAGAGAGAGAACATCACTGGAAAATATGAAAACTTAAGTAATCAGCCTATATGCTTGGCCACAAAAATCTCCTAAGCTATTCAAGCATAGAAATGAATACAATATGGGAAGTCCGTTGAGAAGACACATCCTTGTCTTCCACCCCTTTCTATTTTTGTATATCTGCTGAACTCATTTCTATCCATATGCAGACAGTTTGCTGCCAGCATAGGTTCTTGGTTATTCTAATATCTTTCCAAAATATATCATTGTTGCTGAGCAATTCCAACAGAACTTTGTGGCATACTTTATCAAACACCTTTGCATAATCTATAAACACACAGTTACATGTCCTTCTGCATTTGTATAGAGCTTTCTGATAATCTTCTGAGTATAAATAATGTATTTTCATAGAAAATATTCGTCCTCCGACAGGGATCGAACCTGTATCCTATACGGAACCGTCATATAGCCTGACGTGCCTTTAACCGATTTGGCCACAGAAGGGCGTTCGGTTAGCCACGTCAATTTTGCTGTCTTTAAACTATAATCTTCCATGATTCTCTCACGTACATTCATATCTTCTCATGGCATATCTAAATGTAAACAAATGATGTCACACATTATGAAATGGACAAAGTCCGACAATTATTTTAAGAGATTTTTATGTTTATACATTCTTTAAATTAATTAAATTCTTTAATTCCTGTCAGAGGACGAATATTTTCTATGAAAATTTCTCGGACATTCAGGCCGTTAAATGTTCTTTAATACTGTTTATTATAAACAGAGCATTTACTTAAATATTTGTATCTATAAAAAGAATGTATAAACATAAAAATGTCTTAAAATATATATATATTTTTATTTGAAAAATTTTTTACATTGCTACACAAAAGCTTTCATGTTCTGAAACATGAAAGCTTTTGTGTATCGATGTAAAATATTTTTCAAATGAAAATATTATTAAAATATATTTTGCTCTATGTTGAGCACTTTTTTTAAAAAAAGTAAATGCGAAAGAATGGTAGATTTTTAATCTGTTCTTTCCCTTTATTTGGATACATATATATAGTCATTGATATTTCTTTGAATTTAAAGTATATAAAAATTACTTTGTGTTGCATGAAGGACACATCAAAAGAGAAATAAGATGGGATATAGTTATGCATGTATCATGACAGCTTGAAAAAAGATATGTATAGTGATAGATTTTAAGTGCTGAAAGTTGCATCCAAAAGCATACACCTTTCATGAATTTTCTTGATTTATGGATTACAAAAATTATTTGAAAAAATTCCTCTATTTTTTTTTTTTATGATTGGACTTGTCTGTTTTGCATTTGTGTTTTTATTGACCTATGGTTTTCTTTCTTTCTTTTTTTTTGTTTTTAGAGCCTTGGATGTTGACCAGTTCTGCATAGAAGCCCTGTGTTACCTTACTTTGTATAATTTGTGCAGAGTTGGAGATTACAATGAGGTAAATTTACTCCATTTTTTTAATACGACTAATCTAAGGCTGTAATTTGTTTTTTCTTTTTTTTTTTTAAAAATATCGTTGTCATAACTCTGTTGTTGGTGAGGCTTAGAATACACCATTTGCATTCTATTCTGGGTGCCACCTTCTAGGTAGATACTTGCAGACTCGTGAACCAAATCTATGTCTTCCTTTCTGACTCTGTTGTAAACGAGATATATTTATTAATTCATTCTAATGTTTGTTCAGAAGATTTATATTCAATATGAAATAACCTAAGAAATGTTGCTAAATTAACCAACTATATTTATCCCCTGTCAGTATAATTTGAATCTAAGACAATTTATCATTGGCAATATCTTGCCACATACTATAGGTCATCTGATCTGATTTATTGCTAAACTTATTTAAAATGTATTGGAACAGAAAACAATTCATTTATGACAAAAAATGCATAGCTTTTAAATTTTACTTTACAGAAAAATGATTATGATTAAATTCTGGGTATGAGATGTTTTCTTTCTTTTATACTAGTTGCCAATTAAAGTTAGAGAGCACATTCTACTCTTTTATTTAACTCTGAACTGGAGAGAGAAGAAGCAATTGTCTTTTTGAAGGGCATTCGTGCAAAAGTGAATGCAACTAACTAGCTCTCAATTTGAACTTGGCTCCTCAATTTCGCTTTTCAGCCAATATCCATTACCCACACATTCAAAATATGATTGCCAAACCAATTAGATTCAGTTTCAGCTCAGTTCTGAAACTCTGCAATATATTTTTTTTTTCTTTTTTTTCATGTTTTTCTTTTCTTAGGTACTTTTGATGTTTTGAAGTTGAATTGTCTGCCAAACTAAAAGTGGCTACCTTGATTCAAGGCAGCTAATTCAGTAGCTATTTCTTTTGTAGCACTAATTAAATAAACCGATCCATTTGTAAAAAAAAAAATAAGGAAAAATTTGACAGTGCATAATTTTCATAGGTTAGCTAGAAGATCGGTGTTTTTATCAAGACACCATCTCTAGATAGATTTTCAACTAAGGCTCAAGAGTTTCTATCTGCCTATTAGCATAGCAATTGATGGTTTCTGATCAGATCCATATCTACAATTTGATTCATAATGCTTGGGTCTAACGCATGGTATGGTTATCAGTCATTTTCCTATCGTACTGCGGACTGGAATCACCACCCCAGGTTGATATTCCTAAGAAGTCACATTCTTAATTGAACTCGGTGAGATTTGAAACCTAGGTCTCATGGTCAGAACACTAAAGCTTTAAACCATTTGGCCATGTGCCTACTTTTGGCTAGGCATCTACTATTATAGTGCTATAATGTTTCAGTTATTGTAAACTCCTGAAGAAGGTTGAAGGGTGCATTATCTGACTAACAACCATTTAAGTGAATCACTTTATAATAAAAGTAAAATAATTGTCTAATCAGGAGGAAAAACTCTTGTCTACTTTATATACAAAGAAATTTTAATTTTCAGTTTTTCATTAAATTCTTTATACAATTTTCTATTTTTATTTGTTATCTTTAGTAAATTTTGTCCTTGCAGGAACAAACTCTTATTCTATTTATAGAGCAAGTGTGTTTTCTCTTTTCAGGCTCATAATTATCTTTCTAAATTGCTAAACAGTTTGGACATGTTTGAACCAAGCAGCAAATCACTTTATTACAACATTGCCCGATTGATATCCCGTGTGGTTTGTATACTTCATCTTTTACTGTTCAATTTCAAACTTAAATTTCAGATTTACTTTCTTTTTTAATGTCTTGTGTGATCTAAAATAGATAAACAAATAAAAATGTCAAGTACTGTTCAAGACTTTATTAATTTCAGACTAGTTTATCTTTCATCTTATTTTTGTAGATTTTTATAACAATGCTCAAGTCATTTTACATTCTACACCCATTTTATATTCTGCATGGATTGAAATCACCAGCTTTTTATGAGATTTGAACATGCATCTTGTATTTTTTGGTACTTTGTCTGGCATGGGTTCCTCCTTACCTATTTTGCTATGGAGACTGGCCAAATCACATAGCCACTTTTTTTTTTTCAATAGCATATTGTTTGTTTGCATCTAGTAGTATTTGATGTAAGAGTTTTAAGTTGTGTGAATTTCCTTGATGAAATGCCTACATTATCAATTTTACCTAATTTTTCATTCTATTATTTTGCTTTTTATTGCAAAGTTCACATCATTTCTAGTCTACAATTGTTAAAAAACATGTATTGAAAATTGAAAAAAAAAAAAGTAAAAGAGGAAATCACCTCCAAGAAATAGAATATTGACTCAAATGTTGTAATAAAAAGTAATAATAATAATATAAAAGGTGAACTCATTAAAATTAGTAATGAGGATGTTTCTTTGAAGAAATTTAGTCAACTGCTAAATACATTTACATTATGATTAAGGATATAACTTTGGACTCTTTGTTAATCAAATATTGATCATCTAGAATTATAATTTTCAGATTTACCTTCTTTTTTAAAGCCTTAATGTTTCCTTATTTATAAGATATTTTATTATAAACTGTGATAATTGAATTTTTTTAATTTCAGAGTAAATTTCTTAAGGTGAGAGCTTAAGAAAAAAGAAAAAAAGGATGTTGCCATAATTGGAGAATTTAAAAAAAGGGTACATGTGGGCTATTGTCCTAATCTTTGTTGTGATTATTACAACATTTTGGTCATTGTGCCCTCTGACCTTCTTCAGATGTCTGTCTATCCAGTTAACCTTCAGCTGGAAGTACACCTAAAATGTTGTGAGAATGACAACAAAGATGAGGACAATAGTCAGTATGTAAATAATGTAAATAATAATTCTTCATTCCTGAAATTTGGGCAGGAAGACATTGTAATTCATATAAATCTAAAGGTATTTCAATTACATAATATAAGAAGTCAAAAAGCAACCCAGTATTATATGCTACGATCCAATTTGGTGGTGGTTGTGTGTGTGTGTGGGGGGGGCTAAAGTGTTGAAACAAGTTTCATTCAGTTGATCAAACAAATAGTGAGAATTAAAGCAGTCATTAAGAGAAATCCAGCTCCTTATTCACATCACAGATAAGCACATGGTGTTGATTAGTACTGCATTATGGGAATCATCAGTAAAGGTTTTAAGTTTCTTTTAGAAGAGGAAAACTTATTATATAGGAATAAAGTGTCACTGCTGACACTGGAGTTTGAACACAGATCATCGGTGAGCAAACATGGGTGATTCCATTTCTAATAAGTAGACCATGTGATTTCAAAGGAAATGTATATATGGGAATTAACGTGGTGTCTAATTGATCACCATTTCTATTCTATCCGCTATTGCTATATGGATCACTCTTTCTACACTATCCTCTATTACTACACGGATCACTCTTCTATACTATTCTCTATATTGATCACTATATGGATCACTATTCGGTGGTTACTTTTGGAGTGAGTATTATCGAGCAAGTACTATTAGTGCGAGCGTTATTCGAAGGCGCCTGAAACCAGTATTGTTCAATGGCATTACTATAATTGTGTCTGCGATTACAAAGTCTCTACTGCAACAAACATTATGGAAGTGACAATGAGTATTCATTGACATTACAGAAATGGCAACAAGTGTTTGTTGACATCACCAAAAGAAACAATACAGCTCTTTATATAGGAGCATAAGAGCCAGGTAGATGATATAGTAAAAAAAGAAAAAAAAATGTTTGGTTGCTTGATAAAAAAGAATAAAAATCCTTTCCTCTTCTATGTGGTATGTACTTTCAGGATGTCGATGATTATGGTTCTCCACAAATTCTTATCCTTTGTAACTCTTGGTAAGATTTGACTTTTCATCATTTCTGCCAGTCCGTATTCTGCCATACTTTTATGCAAGCTCATTAGGAAGATTACATGCTGTTTTTCTCTGTCCTTCTTGCCGTCAATATATGCTGTGTGTGCCAAATTCTCCAAGCCCTCTTTCCTCATTATGTGTCCAAGAAATTCCAACACGTTTTCTGATTCTAATTATAAGCGTCTTTTTTGTTTCCATTTTCTTTAAAACTGTAGTGAAAGAGATAATCAGTTACCCTGAAAAAAGTTTGTGTTTTGTGTGCGATCTGCTGAAGAAAAATTAGCAAAAAGTAGTTAGCAAAAAATCTACATCAATGACTAGAATCTATGCTAATATTCTTCCCTCCCCTAAATGGCTTGACCAATCAGAAAATTCTCTCGGTGAACAGAAGCCGTTGTTTTTCGCTTATAAAAAGAGATGATTTTTTTGAGCTTGGTGGAATGAACACACATTGTTGTTGGTGAGAAGTGAAGATTGGATGTGTGACCCCATTTTGTTGTTTCTACGTTGTGTGTTGGACTGTTACGTCAGACTATCGTTTAAACTGCGATTTTAGCTACAAGTGTTGTGGCCGAGAAACAGAAGAAATCTATTGCAGTTGCTACTATCAGTTGACAGTCTTTTCTTTACTATAACAAAAACTTATCCATTATCGCATGTTCAGTCCTTTGTATTCTCAGCGTCCTTCTGTAGAACCACATTTCTAACTAAATTAGAAGATCTGACTGTAAATAGTAGATTGAAAGATGTAAGAGATTTATAAAATACACAGAATTCAAATTCTATTTTATTTATTTTACTACTGATCTATGAGAAAAAAGCCCACCTATCTGTCTTCCAGTTATGGGTTAGATAGTGCAGACAATGCTCTTGTACCTTGATTGGAAGCCAGTCTAAGAGAAGAAAAACTATGAATTCACTCTTAAAGAGGACTGTTTGAAGACTTTGTGGCACACTGTGTACAATTTCTGTTGTCAGTCCTTCCAAAAGATTCCAGCACCCCAATTATATATATATATGTATATTTGGGGTGCTGGGAAATTTTTGGTTTGTTTGTAAATTCTGGCATATTAAAATTAAAATTAAAAAAAAAAAAAAAAGAATCTGCACAGATTTGAATGTTCAGCCTGGAGTTAAGTTAGCAATGACATATCCACTACACCAGTGTTTTGCTGCTTAAACAGCATAATGAAATCAACTTTGTAATAGTTAGTTGGACAGAACACACAGATACTAGACCAATCTGAGACAGAGGGCTAGGGAGTAACACTCTGATTCTAGGCAGAGTGCAAAAATACTCTACTGAGTCTAGATAGAAGTGCCAGTAATTCAGTTTTTATTTATTTATTAATATCTACTATGCTAATATATGCATATGAACACATATACACACACAAAAGTGCTGGAAGTCTTAAAGTTACCAGAAAGTATTGTAAAGAGGTTCGTAGAAATCCATGCAACTTACCAATCAGATTGGAATTTGAAAACAAACGAGAATTTCTGAAAGCATCTTTCAGGCATGAATCTTAAACAGATATTGTTTGATGATGCTGCAAGTCATATCTGATTTCAAAGAGTGTTTGTTTCAAATTTCCAACTGAAATTACTTTAACCAACCAGTGTACTAACATTGTTATGTCTTTGGTGTGTTAAAAGTTGCTTTTTATCCCAACGTTCAGTGGACATAAAAGCAGAAATTGTAAAACTATGAGATCTGAAATATGAATGCGAAGGAAATGATTTGCAATATAATATATTTCCTGTTGAGAGTGTTATATAGATTCTTCAATCTAGAGATATCTGAATGATGAGACGTCTATTTCAAATATGAGTATCCACTATAAGGTTGGTAGTAATAAAATATGAATAAAGGCAAAAAGAAAAACTATTCTTTACCAATGTTTTTTGTCTTAAATACCATCAAAATATGAAACATGTTTGTAAAGAATAGTTTTTCCTTTTGTCTTTATTCATATTGTCTTTTTATGGATATATTTTTATTTATGCATGAATTTTTGCATATATATGGGTCATTCCATCTCAAATCAACCAACAGCCACAGGTGAATCACTCAGAAAAATCTGGGGAAATATTTCCTTAGTGTAATTTTTGCCTTAATAATGATCCTGGTTTTTGTATATTTTTGAGTATCAATAAAATTGCTTAACATGAACAAATTGGGATGCATTTTCACTATTTTGACTTGATGGATTTAAAATTAAAATAATCTAGTGGAATCCTTATTTTAATTTACTGTTGAGATTGAATATTATTGTTATATAACTGCTTAAATCTGGAAATGTCTCCAAGTCATAGTAACAGAAAACCTGAAGTAAAGAGATGTAAATCTCCCAAATATGAAGAAAATTGTATCCAGGTGATTGTGACAATCATATTTAAAGCCACAGAATTGAAAATCTGTTAACAAGATTTAGTAATTAATATTGGGGAACCTGAAGTTAATGATAATGTTCCAGCTACCAAATTATGTCTCATTCTAGATCATAAACTGATGAAAATTTTCTTGAGGAGTAAGTTTGCAGATCAATGGCCTGTTCATGTGTGTGTTTTTAAAAAATGTATTATATATATATATATATATATATATATATATATATATATATATATATATATATATATATATATATATATATATATAAAACTAGGTAATCCATATTTTTTTTTTAGTTCTGTGATATCCATTTAAATGTAAATTCAGATATTCAAACAATATATATATATATATATATATATATATATATATATATATATATATAAAAAAGAGAAGAGAGGTGATTTGCAAACGTTTTTGGTTGTAATGTGGATTTATTTAGAAAAAAAATTATGCTTTGTTTTACATAATTTTTTTC